CCCCCCCAGGTTGTATTCCTTTATATTGGTGTTATTTTATTATGATATCAAATAATGACATGAGGTTCAAAGCATAAGGGAGCTAAACACAATTGATAAACTCAAACAATGAGTGGAAAATAAATAGCAAGAATCAGAGCCTCGTCTAAACAGGCGTCCACAATTCAATGAAAACTAGAAAAGAACCCCATCATAGTAAAACTAACGCTCAGCCAACTAGAATAATGGAAACATGAACCAAAACACAGGCTTGCAAGACTAGAAAAAGCATGAAGTAATCGTAGAAATCAAAGACTCAACAATATCACAAAACATCAAAGCCACTATTAGAAAAGAGATCAAATCAGGAATCCAAAACATCAAACACTACAACAATCAAATCTAAGAATCCAAAATTTATATCCACAAAAACTCTGGCACCATGACAGTAATTTATTTTTTATTTCTCATCTTCCACTTTTTGCTTTGCATGACAAAAACTGACCCAAATTATTGGCTGTTTAAGCCTTTCATCTTTCAAAAGATTTTATATGATCTTAATATTACAAAATTTCACTCACACAGTTGATAACTATGGGATTGAAGCTATCTGATTCCCCTCTTTCTATGTATTTTCCCCAAGACACATCACTGCACATGAATGATAGATCTAGGAGAACAAAGGTCAGAACTAAGAGCCACTTTGGAGCCATGTGGCCAGTAGAGGGCCCCAAAAGGGTGTAAAATGTCTCACTAAAGTTGTTGTTTGCCATTAAAAGATAACATAAAGTAAACAAACAAACAAAAAACACTCACAAGGGCGAGAACAGCATTGAGGGTAAAGTTGTGGTGCTATTTTTAGGTACTACTGTGTTAGTAGCATAACTTCTTGGCTCGCTTGTACCACGACTATGTTCTGTGAGTTTTTGGCTCATAAAAGTGAGAGTCAAATACATTTAATAAGTGCCTTTAATAAGTGTTTACTGTGTTTATAAGGCACAGCTCTGTTAAAATGCATTTACACAAATAAAAACTGTAGATACCAAATCTCCAGCAATGTATGGACACTGGCTACTGTTTCCTGGGTATACTGGGGAATATGAATGCACAGTCAACTATCCAGGTAAGCCAGGTTTAATATTAATATTGGAAAAAAATATCGAGGCTGTAGTGGGAGCACTGGATATCAGGTGTGACTAAATGTGGTTCACAGGCAGAATTTTGCTTGGGGGTGGAGACAGGTCAGGACTGAGTCTGTGTGCAACTGCACATGAATGCATAATTTTCTTTTTTGTTATGTGATTAAGATGGACCGCCATGGGCAGACAATTATCACAATTTAATACGCTTATGCAAATCTAACATCTATTCATTAGTGTGGAGTGCTTTTCTTTCCCAGTTGGCATCATGCTGGCATCCTAATTAGTCTGATTTTTGAAAATAGGGATGTAAGGTGAATGCAATTAAACCGTAGGAAAGAAAGCCAGAGGAACAGGACAGAAGAGCTAACAACTGATTTTTTTTTTTATTCTTTACTTTCTGATTTACAGATTGCACAGCAGGGTGTAAACATGACAAAAAATGAAAGGACATTTGACTTTACAGAGACAATTGTCTCAGAAAGTAGTTTATGTCGTGGTAAAATTCTGAAATACAAAAAAAAAAGACTATAAAGAGGAACTTTTTAAGGGATCTTTGGCAAACCTGATGGCAAAAACTCCTCTGTGCCTCCTTTAAAATGCTATCTTTGTGGTAATTTGAGAGTTGTCTTATTTTGAATTATTTATACAAGTTCACAGGAAATCACAAAAGGTCTTCAGAGAAGCAAGGTGCATATGGAGGCACTCATACACGTAGGATTATAATACGCTGTTACATAATTTTATAAGGCCACTGATCAATGCAAACGAATAAAATCATAAGATCATAAATTATCGAGCCGTCAACACAAACCTCAATCACAAATGAATACTCCCCTTGATAATTACCAGCTTCCTGTCACTTTCCATTCAGTGCGGTCGACGCTTGCTTTTGTTGCATCAAAAATTGTGTAGAGCAAAAACTAAGCCAAGGAAGATGCATGTGTTCAGCAGATTATAAAGGTACTCAGATGGCAAATATAGACTGGAAATGAACAATAAAGTAAAAAAAATAATAAAAATGAGATAGTTTTCAATATTATTTAGATGACATGCAAGAGATACATGGAACAATGTAGTTCAAATACAGACAGATGGGCAACAAATCTGAAGGCAGCAACAACGCGGAAGCACTTTAAAGGGAACAGACTAAAATATTTAAAGACGTTCCATTACAGAGACGCATCACAGCAGGCCGTGCTTCTTGCTTGGGCAACCTTGGAGTTTGTCTCGCGAGATAAAGCACTGCAGATGAAGGAACCAGCCTCTATGACTTTGGCAATGTTCACACCCTGCAAAAACATCCCAGCATCAGTAAAAGTGCAATTAATATAATAAGCGCAAGATAAACAAGAAATGGCAAGTTTAAGGTTTTCTCACTGAAATTAAAAGAAGACGTGTAACAGGTGACAGAAAATTAACCCGCAGTGAATCGTTTCTACCAGCAGGGGTAGGAATTGTTAAATAAATTGTTCCTGAGAAGTGTGTGCAACACCACAGTCTTGCACAAGTTATGTAGAACCACTAATATGATCAAATAAACTGTTACAGGGCAGTATGTTTGGAGAACGATGTGTTTATGTGAATGAGCTTTGAAAGATTGTACAATGTTGGTTTTGTTGAGATTAGACACAAGTGTACATACACACCAGACAGTGAAGTCATACTTACTGTTTCAATGCCCATGCCATGAAGCATGTAGAGAACATCCTCTGTGGAAACATTGCCAGATGAACCCTGAGCGTAAGGGCATCCTCCCAGGCCAGCTACTGCAGAATCCACCACAGAGACCCCCATCTGCAAGGACAAACAACAGAGGCATTCGGCAAATCCGTGAAAGACTTCATGTCAGGTAAAATCCAGGAACAAAGATCTTTGTTCTATTGGGTTGTTCTGCCTGGTGCCGCGCACCTTGCCAGGCCTGTGGTTGTGTTTTACAGCTGTTTCTGAGAACCGTGGGCTTAAGGCTTGAAGATGAGTGGGCACAGAATGTCCCGCAGTATGGCTTAGTCATCCTCTTTGTCAGCTCAAACCACCAGCACCACATAATTATGGCCTTGTTCATATGACAGGAATATTATAAAGGCTGAGCAGAAGATTTCATATGTTTCTGATTGTCCTGGTTACTCATGTTTTTACAGCACGACTCTGCTCTTCACCATAGGGATTCACTTTCTTGCCACATCGAGAAGACATTTTTTTCCCCCTTGGCTGCTTAGTGTCCAATCAAACTGTGCCAATAAACTTAATGCATTTGTACACAAATGTGCTACAAAAAAAATCATTAATGGCAAACTATTTCGCTGATCTCCTTGATTACAAATGTTTCTGCTTTCTAAGGGCCTCTTTGTTTACACGAATGTAAGAATCTACAAGAGATAAAATTCAAGTTGTGTACTCTACTGCGTTTTTTTTTTTTTTTGGCTCACCAGCGCTCACGACAAACATTACTGCTGAAATTTGTGGGAAAGTTTTTCCTTTTTTTACTGCCGACGATAGCGAGCGCCTGGCCTCCATATGAAAATTAATGATGCGTTTTCAGTTGTTCTTCTCAATCCGTTGCTTTTGTTGGACAGCTTAACCAACATTATAAAAGGCTGCCCAGGAAACAGTACCCCGGTGCTTTTGTTGCAGCTCGATGTTGACATTGAAATTTACAGAAGCACATTTTACTCTTTCTCTGAATGCCCATATTACTCAAAGACACACAGTCACTGTTCTTGCCATGGACGTGCGCGACCCAGTCATGAATAAAACCTTTGTTTTCACACCAAGACAGGCCTTCAGTTTTCAGAGTCATTATGGACTAAGGTCTTGGGATGTTTTCCACATGTCCCTGGGATTGTCATGAGAATATTAAAGATGTTTTCCAGCTTCCGCGGTAGAACCAGATGTCAGAGGATCCTACAGTGAGACAAAATTAACACACTGATCCTTTCAGTGGCACTGGGTCATGAAGGACCGGTACCCCACAGAGCAGGACCAAGCAAGTTAAATTAAAAGAATCTCTATTGCTTTTTTGGAACAATGATGCTAATTGGTTGCTTTTCCTCCAGACAAGAACCTACTTCTTTCAGGGGGCTGTCTGAGCCAGCCGTAATTGCTGTTTATGTTGGCAAGGGAAGAGGAGGAGGTGGGTAGAAGGAGGAGGAGATCTACTCCGGTGTGTGCAGTGCACGAGATTTCCAGACCTTGGTTAAAGCCAGAGCAGGATATTGTACTAGGCAGAATTTTTTGTAGTATAAACACAGAGTTGTAATCTGCCATGCCAATCCTCTCGCTTCTAGCTATAAGGTCACAGGTCTTCAGCGTACTGTTTCCGAGAGGAACAGAACAAACCCTTTCAGCAGCGTGCCCCGTACCCCTGGACACTAATCACGCAGGAACTGGTGGTCAGCAGCTCGGGCTTGCCAATGCTCAGTTAGGTTCACACTACCCAGAAACCAGATGTGTGCTCAGTGTTAAAAAGCCATACTGAGTGAGCTGCGGCTATATAAAAACAATGCATTCCTGGGTAAAGACACTGAACATTTTCAAACTTGCATGATTTGGGATAAGCTTGTTTACATTCTGCGCTCTGAGTGGACGAGGCTGAAGATGGACAAGCTCCCATTTTGGTTTTATAACTGCGTCACAGAGCGAGCAAAAGAAAGAGTGTGCATTCAGCGAAGGACACGAAGCAGTGATGCTTCACCCACGACTACATAAACCGAAAGGCTGACAGAAACTGTCACGGATCCCGTGCTGACACTTATATCACTTCTTTCGAGGAGCGAACCCCGGACAGCAAAAGGCAAACAAGCACTTAAAGAATAAATAAATCACATTTTACTTTATCATTTCCAAAAGAAAATAAAGTTTGACTAATGTGATGTGACAAATATGAAGTTATTCAACTTTAATATGCAATCCTATTTTTAATATAATGTAAATGAATACTAAAAATACTACTACTAATGATAATAATAATAATATAACATATTTATCACCTTAGAACATGAATTTGGTTGGAATTGAAGAAAAAATATAAGAAAATAAATTCACAGATAATCCATTTTCTTAGGAATTTATGTACTTGCTAATTAAATTATTTATTGATTTTGAATAATAAACATTTATATTTCAGCTCTTCATCTGTTTTTATTTATTTTGTATAACAGCAATCGTCCCAGGGGCTGCAGATGAAAATGAGCTTTTTGACCCATTTATTACATCAGTGTTGCTTCCTTTACATACATGTTAAAAGCATTTTTTTTTAAATAGTTAAAAAAAAAAAGTAAAATAAAGCCTAAGAATACAGAAAAAAGAAAAATAAATGTTCTTTTACTGTTATTTTGTCCTTTTGTGGTATTTATGTGGGTTTTACGGTTGTCTTTTAAATATATATTCCAGTATGTCACAAGGGCTCATTTTAAAAAAAGTTAATAATCTATAATAAATATTTTCTAGTTTAGCTGAAATTGATTTTACTTGTTTACTCAACAGAAAGTATCGTCGGTGGCTTTGATTCAGAGCGGATTTCACTCTTTGAAATAGCAAATCACCAGTCACAAGATAAAATGATCCTTTATAACTATCCATCATAACTTCTACCATTCAGTCAAAGAAGCCAACATAAAGTTGCACTAAAGTTATCAACACACTGCTCAACACAGCTGCTAGGTAACTGGATGTTAGTAAAATATGTTAGTAAACTAAGGCTGAACAGAGTCTCATGTATGGAGACAAAAGAAAATACTGCAGATGGATGTTATTGTCAGTAGAGATCTCTAGTGTGAGCCCAGACAGGTTATACTGTATTCCCCAGCTGCAGTAGTACACAATACACCAAAATTGCAGGTAAGATTAAATAATTTTCCTTGCCAAGCCTGTGAAATCTAAGTACATACATTGTCATTGTGTGACCTGCCAGGGTAGGTTTGTAACAAAGCCCCCCTAGACCTCCTGAAAAAAGGTACAAAGACTAAGGAATGTCTTTATCGGGAACAAAAGAGGTGACTCAGGGCTGACAGCACTGGGGGAATTCATTTCTCTCCCAGTTGGTGGTGTGGAGTTCTGGCACACAGTAATGAAAAACTATGATAAAATCTTTAATTTCCTACTTGTTTATGGGTGAGCAAATGGTGAGCTAAATATCCCTGGCTGCTATTATTTCTTGTGGCCATGGGGCAGCTGCGATGAATCATTGTAAATATGATCCACGAAGGAATTTCACCATCTCTCTGTACTTTTTCTTTTTCAAACCATTCAGAATCAGATTTAACCTTAAAAATATTTGCTTCTTTACATGACATGGATCAGCTGCCTTTCCGAACAATGTTTGACCATAAATTGTACCAGAGAAGTACAATATTAGATTAATTCCATCATAATTATTAGAAGGGATAAGTGTTCAACTGCAAGTTTCACAACGGAACAACAGTTTCTTTAGTGGATGTGTAACATTAGTGAATGAATGAATGATTTCATTTACACGTTACATTTGCAGTCATACAGTGATTTGTGCAAACTGAAGCATAAATACTATACTAACGTTTACAGTCGAGTAAAATAAAGTACTTGAGTAGACGTTTCTAGAGCTGCGTCTGCAGCTGCAGCACCATTCATCACATGCTCACCGTAGAGCAAATGAAAGGATCATTTTCCACTGGCCTTTAAGCACGCCATTGTCAGAAAGTTCAACAGCCAAGCGGCAGACGAGCTAGAAGCCCCCCCACCCCCCCAGGGCCCTTCGATCCACCTAGCTCTCAGTCGCTTTGTCCAATAGACACTGAATAGGTGAGCCTTTGTGCTGACCCCCTCACATCTGTTGACCCACCCAGCCCCCAGTGTGCTTCCTCCTCTGTGGTGACAATGCGCTCCAGTAAAACTGATACAGCCCTGCCTGCATTGCCTCTGTTTTATGTTTGGATATATGTCAGGTTTACTGGCTCGCAACAGGCAAAGTGGTGACAAATGCCCCCACGACAGCTCCTTCACAAAGATTCACAACCCAAATGCACTTATAGAGTGTATACCTTTAACTGTGCAATACATATTGTTAAGTTCATTAAGATTCTGGGAATTTTTTTTTCTTTTTGAAAGCAGTTTGTGAATCATCTTGCTTTGTGGGGAAGCTTAGATCATGTTTCTTAATGCCGATTTTCCTCGTTGACTGATGGTTTCTGGTTCTCTGTGTGTCCCATTGTAGCCTACACATACACAACAGAGAACACATTCATCATGCCATAGACTGACAGACTGTCATTAAAGCTCAGGCACATATGTGCGCTTTTTAAAAAGTAAAAAAAAAAAAAAAATTTAAGCTCTGAAATACTCTAATATAAAAGTTTGCAATAAAAAGTTTTACATAATTTTAAAGTGGCATATATGGCCAAAATAACTATACATCAGTCTTATTGATATATTACATTATTTGGCTTCCTTTTTCCTGACTCCAGCGGAAAATAAAAACAATTTTTCCTTTTTCTTGTTGCAAAGAAAGGACACTGTAGCATGTGAGCTGAAAAGTGTCTAAAAAGATGGATTGGGAGAAGTTTAACAAATGATGCTTCCCAGCAGGGATAATGATTTAAATCAACCTAAAAAAAAAACAAAGACCTGTGATCTCTATGATGCTGGCAGAAAGTTGAATGATATCCTGGAACAAGAATCACCACCTCTATTTTGCCTCCACATCTGGTTGCTCCTCTTCATGTCATCATGAGTAACTACATTGATTTATGCAAAGGCCGGGCATTTATCCATAATCGGTCTGTGGTTCTCCACGAGAACATTCATATTCATCACAGGGGAGGGATGTGCATGTGAAGGCAAAGGTACCCCAAATCCACTGGGAAAGCAGAAAGTAAAGCTGTCAGACAATTTAACATGAGAGGATATGGGGATCAAGAGGATGAATCATTGCTGTCTTGTGCTTGTCCAAAAGGAGAATCTACACTACAAACTACGGCAAGAGGGCTTCCTCTTCTAACTTTACCAGCATTTGTACGCTTAACACAGACCTCTCCACTTAAAAGTGTTAGCACCTTTTATGTCTCTCCCACAAGAAGGTTTTTGTCTCACAACAGAGGTGTGGGCACATCTGTCCTCCCAGAGTTGTCAGGCTTTATATTATCCCTTTATTCATTAGGATCTTTGAACTGTTTTACCTTTCTGCTTATTCAGAGACCTCCATACCTTCCAATCACACCAACAAATTAGCTGAACTGTGTCTGATTGCCTCTGTTTTTAAAGATCCCTCTCGGCTGCCTGTTAGGTTCAGAGAATTTTTCCAAAATTCACAGTTCCTACCCTATCCACCTTTCAATAGTCCTGGAGCTAGTCATTTAAAAAAAAAAAAAAAAAAAAAATAGTCCTGGAGCTAGTCTCCTTCTATTATTGACTTCCATTAACAAACTAACTTCATTTACTTTTAAATGTTTGTTTTTAAGTTTTTGACTGTTTGCTGTCATTATTAATGTCTTTTATGTCTAATCTTAGACTTATGAAATAGCTGCACAAAAGCTGGTTTACAAGACAGATGTAGGGCGTTAAATAAGATAATCCTGCCATGTACTTCATGACAGATGGAGAATTAAGGCCCATAATGAAGCTTGGAAACGTTCTGGTGTCACAAGCTGATCCTCAACAGGTGTCATCTGTTGCTTTTATCATCTAATAGTTCTCTAGCTAAACACACTAGACTGTCTATTTGATTTCTTTTCAGATTTCCATCTGCTCTCTTTGTTTGTCAAGCTAACTGCTTTGACAAAGACTTTGCTGTACTTACGATTTAAGAGCTCTTTCTGTCGCTACAGTACTCATAATATTAACAACTGCAGTAATAGCAATAACTATAAATAACAATGAATAATAAATCTAATCATCATTAGATCATTAGCAATTTCTCGGATGGTTCTGAGATTACTGGCAGTACCACATCTTAGGGGTTCTTATCTGGAGTTCACTAAGAATGTTGGCAGTGCTTGCCCATAGGTGTCATGGCAATGAACCATTAAAACTTCTTGTTTTCTTGGAAATATTAATTATAGTAACAATAATAATAATATAAACAATAACGTAAGAAACCAAATCATCATAGGTAGAAGCATAAGTACTTTTGAGACTATTGGCCGCATAATACCCGTGTTCTTACCTGGAGTGCAGTAAGGATGTTGGGCAGTGCTTGCCCATAGGTGTCATGGCAGTGAACTGCAAGCGCATTGATGGGCACGTCCTTCATCACCCTCTGCAGCATCTTAAGCATAGATCCTGGAGTACCAATACCAATGGTGTCTCCCAAGGAAATCTCATAGCAGCCCATTTCATATAATCTCTTTGCCACCTAAAAATAATAAAAATATAGAAAATGCTCTCTTTATAAGAGGATTACATAGTAAAAGAACTTTTTTTTTTCAAATATAAGTACCATGATATGTTTGGTTAGGCAGTGAAATGGAAGAGAATATAAATGCTATATTTTACATTTCTTCAGTTAATTCAATCTGTGCTTACGGAAAGAATATGAACATTTATTGTGATTTTTCATTTAGCAATGAACTGACAATAATTAGCTTTGAGTTTTGACATATATCAAAAAGCACTGACATCCACAAAATTAATTAATTCCAGGAAAAACAAGTAAAAAACAAACAAAAAAAAAACAGAAAAACAAAACCAGAACAACATCTCAAGAAACGATTCAGTTTAGTTTAGATCATTTAAATAAATGAACAGACCTGTAAGTGTAAAGAATAATCCTACCTCTGCCACTTTGGAAGGTTCAATGTGTCCCTCATGGGGACACCCAAGGGCACAAGAAACATACCTGAGAAGATAAAGTTAACAAGTATCATTATTTTGTCAGTTTCAGCAACTGACAAAAAAAAACCCCAAAAAACGTCAAAAGCTGTTGAATATTTTCTATACTATAGTGTGCTCTTCAAAAAAAAAAGAATTGGGTCCAATGTGTCCAGAAGCCTATTAGTGTTTTGGTGTCCTTTATGGGCAAAGCAGTTCGTATAATTTAAAAAATAAAATAAAATCTCTCTCTCTCTCTCTCTCTCTCTCTCTCTCTCTCTCT